TTATAGTTAATCTTCTGACGTACCAGGGTGGCATTTTAGTGGATTCCACATTTGAGCTGCAAAGCTCGTCAGGAGACCATTTGACTACGAACCCGAAAGGTTTTCGTTATAGAAAAGCAATATTCATGGCAACACTGGGTGTTTTGTCCATTGCAGTCTCATTTACCTTACTGTCCTATTTTTGCAAACAATAATTCCTCAGTTTGGAGATTGGAATTGCGGATATTTAGTACTGTTTACTGGATATTTGTTTGTCCGATATATCTTTTGAATCACCACATCAAAATGCATAGCAATCCATCGGCACTGCCAGGATCTACCTGTATACGGATGTGGATTCCCATTTGATCACTGGTCGCATTATAACTCCATTCTATAAGTAGGACACTCAATCACGATTGTGGTTCATTAGATTCGCTCAAGATTGCTCTACCATTTCGTTTCTCTATACGTTCTCGCTACAGATTTCACGAATGGCCCAATCAGCAACAAATCAACCAACTGATTCGACCGTTTTAACCTTGACTCAGCTGTGCCGACCAACTGGGGTAGCCTGTCAAAAATCGTCATCTGCTCGAGATGCACACAGTGCGGAGAACTCGGACGCGGATAGCTCATCGTCGGAAAACGAGTCACGGCTGGGGGAAGGTGAAGCAAAAGAAGGACAGACTGCCAATACATCGGACGGGTCTCTTCCGCTTGGTTGTCGTCGTGTTCGAATCTCCTCCCGTCTATTACCCGCATGTGCACAACACTACACTGTTCGTGTGATCCTCCGAGTCCCACCCAGCACAGCCCAAGAAGACAGTGTCTCTATCCTACCGGAGAATATGGATGATCGACAAACGGATGACTATGTCGCGGTAAATGGTCATCATTTGGGCTATGTACTGGACCGTTTTCAGCCGCGATATGTGATTCTATACGAACCGCGCGTGGCATGGGTTCGGGAATTAGAAGTATACCAGGCGCGGCGTCACGGGAAAACAATAGATAAAGAGCTGGACGAAAAGACTGATACGAAACAAGAGTGTGAAAATTCGGAATCGATAGAAGTTCAACCATTAGAGGTGTTCTTCATGCTTTATGAAAATTCAGTTGAAGAGCAATGCTACTTAACGAATCTACGAAGGGTATGTGCGTGTATGCGACTTTTGATAAAACTTTGATTTTTTTGATATAACAGATCGTTTTGTAGTGTTTGGGTGGTGGTGGTGGTGGTGGTGGTGGTGTTCAAGCGGTTTGCATCGCTGCCTTTACCCTGGCATCCTGAGGTTCCAACACTACCACTTATCTCCGGTGGAAGGTATCTTCACTGTCTTCGAGCAGCGGGACCTTATGTGTAATTTGCCACTCCACGTCCAGAGTGTCTTAGGTTGCCAGTTTCCTAGAGTGAACATCAGGTCTTAGTGACCATAGGGTTTACTCTACTGTTCATCGCACAATGGTAGTACAAATTCGGGATCATAACCTTCATAAGTTTTTAATTCATTCAGTTTCGTTTGCACATGCACCAGCTACTTTTTTATGGCCTTAGATGTGGTTTTCACTCCTTGGAGTTCCGCACTTTCCCACATGCGCAGTGCATTGGATTAACGACGGAAGGGGTAAGCGTCTCAACTCCCAAACCCGAAGGTTTACCGTTCAACTCCTGTTTGTGACACACAAAAGAACGCACTGTTGATGCGTTGAGGCAGCTGGACAGTATTATTTATCCATCATTGTGAAAATCTTTCATCGTTGTTAGTATTTCTTTCACTTTAAAAAAATTCCCTGTATTAAACATAGAATTTTGTAAATAAACTTCTGGAGAAAATCAGGTCCATCAGTGGCTAACAATGTACACAGGGGTGGGAAAAGCAAGCAGCCCTGTTGAGATTCTAGCATGCGAGATCTGAGGCGATTTTATTTATGGTGATCTGTAATGTTTCAGTACGGTGAACTTTTCTCACGCTGTGTTTAGTCTTGTGATCATTACGGTTCGACTTGCCCTAATTGTGTTGACTATCCCGGAATCTGCGTGAGATTAATCATAGAGTAGGTCCAAATGAAAGTTTCGTTTACAGATCCCGGTTATAGCTTTTCTCAAGTTCCAGGTGTTTTTCGCTCACTTCATCGGTTGTCTTCATCGTTTCCCTAGTCTAGGCACGCTTGTTTTGTGTCTCTTATCTGATGGAAGCCTAATCCCAAAATTTTTATCGCGCGCAGTGAAATGCAATAACGCAATCCTTACTTCTGGTCTATCCCAATTCCAACCTAAAGCATTCATAAGTGCGTGAAGTGGTAAGGTTGTGGATGGCTGAGAAAACTGAACGCATAGTCTGATTATACCAAACTTACGGTCTCATAGACCGTAAACAAAATGGAATACTCTGCGACGGTATACGCGAATCTATTTCAGCATTATTTGAGTTCAAATTGGGCTGCTCGAACAGGAAACACACTCGGCGAACTTCCACCGGCTGCCACGCAAACACTTGGCGAAGAAAAGTAGTCAATTGCAATCAGCTTCTAACCATCAATCAATGAATTTGAGACGCCCCATATAGTCCGGTCTTGTAACATTACTTGGTATTCTGAATATGAATAACGCAAATGAAAAGAATCAAAATGGATTTTTATTCTGTCCGGTGCAATTTGTGCACGTTCCATACCATCCAATAAACAGACGATAAGATTCAAAACACTTCTCTGTTTATCGTCATAGTAATTTGCCACAAATGATCATACTACTGGTGAGTAACTACACTGCATGCTCGAAAATTGTGCGATGTTTTTAAGTCAAGTAAAGCTTTACGCACCCGATAGGATGAATTTTCAGCATTTTCGACAAGTTACGGTGAGGAAAACGTTAAGCATTGGAAAAATAAGAAATATACATTTACTAAATGTAAAATAAACGGATTAGGTAAAAGCCTAATGTGACAGCTGAGTGTTCAGGTCAGTAATAATATTTGCTCGCTTGACCAATATACGAGTAAAATAAGGGATCATGCTGTTTTTGTGTGGTGGTGCGTGCACAAAGAATCCGAAATTGGGAATGGGTACTCGGAAGAGACACCGATTTATTGAGATGAGGGTGCAGTTAGTGTTCTTCATTGGACAGGATAGGGCTGATAAATTGGTCGCATGAATCAAAATGATTGCTCACAATAAAGTCAACCAAAACGGTCTTTGAAATGCTACTGCAACGAGAAAGAAGTTTAAGAGATCTGGAAAAGAGACCAGGAAAATATACGGGGGAACAGTACAACCAATGTGGAAGAATGCAAGCAGTCACAAATTTAAGAATGACATTTGAGGGAGCGCCGAGCTTTTTAAGCCTAAAGGCGTAGAATGATAGCTTACGAACCCGAATACAAATGTTTTCAACATGTTTGGACCAAGAAAGATTGTGTGACAAAGTAACTCCAAGATATTTCACAGAGTTAGCTTCGGGGATGGTATTACCATTAACAGAAAGTACAGGTTGATTGATCAAAAGGGTTTCATAGGGCATGCCTGTTTTAAGGCTAAAAGAAACATCCACACATTTATCTACATTTAGCAATAAAGATCGAGAAGTCGACCAACTAAAAATGTTATTTAGACAAACTTGACGTTGACAGAAACAATTAGGAACAGTCGAAGGATAGCCGACCAACACGTCATCAGCATACTTACAGGCGATAAAGTTGGGAGGGATGGGAAGGTCCTTAATATACAATGAAAAAGGAAATGGAGACAAAATTGCACCCTGAAATACTCCAGATTTACCGTTACAAAAAGTGTATTGCATCCGATGAGTGAGGTAATTAATTAGTACATTCAGTAAATTAGGTGCCAGACCACAATCCGAAAGACGTTGAATGAGAATGCCACTATCAAGTGATTCGAAAGCATTAGCATAATCAACAAAAGTTGAACGGACGATGCCAGCCCCTTTATCCAATAAGGATGAAACGGAATGACCAACGTGAGCAACAGCATCAAGAGTGGAAAGCGAATGTTTGTAAGCAAACTGAATAGGGCCACGGGTGATAGATAAAAGGGTCAGCCGGTTAAGAAGGACTCTTTCGAAAACTTTCAATAATGCTGATGTGCAGGCAATCGGTCGATATTTGGAAGATCCTTTTTCGGGAAATGGGATTATCCGATCAGCTCTCCAACAATCGGGGATGCTTCCGGATGACATACACAAATTGACCAACTCGGAAATAGGTGAAGCAAGTTGTTCAGCACACTATTTCAGTAGGAAAGGGAACAATGAATCGGGGCCATGTACCTTGTTAGATTTAATGGACTTGAGTACATTCAGGACTTCCACAGCGGTGACAGATTGGTTCTCCTCAGTAGATGTAAATAAAGATGGTGTTGAGTTCCTTATAGTAGCATTTGCGAATTGACGGTTTAGCTCCTCAATGCCCGGAGAAGATCTGTTGCGTGATCCACAGAGCTGCTTCAAAGTAGACCACATATCGCGGCAGCTCTGGTTTCTCATAAGAGTTTTACTCCTTCAGATAAGCTTCGTGAGCAAACACCTCAACCCAACGATGATTTTGCACTAGGCAGGACAGTGAGCGACCGAATATGTTTAGTTAAGTGTGAAACTGATATAAGGTGGCAATATTTTTGGCACGTGACAAATATTAAAGTCTCTTGTACCACACAAATTCATGAGCATTTTTGAGCTTCATATAGAGCTTTCCCTGATTACTTGAGTTTCATAAAGAACTGAATCACTGGTCATTATTGTTTCGGTAAAGCACAATAGTTAGAAGTTTATTCCCCAGACCAAACCCTAATCCGATGTGTACTCTAATTTGAAGAGTTCATCCTTCAGTGTGGACATCTTCGTTTAAAGTGATGGTGCTTGAGGAGGAGTAGTTGACATTATAATTACCGTCCGCTTGTCCACACTGGTTACCGATTTTCAATAACAGCCGTGAAAGATTAAATTTATGTGTGAGTTGACTGAGATACATTGTGTTTTCACTTGTCTTCAATGAGCCATTTTTCACCCTTCGTTCAGGAAAAGGAAGCGTTTGAATCGTTGGTCGATTTAAGCAGTCGAATTGTTATCCCAAAAGATGCCTCCCTTCCAACCGGTCCTGGCGGAGAGTGGAATGAGGGCCAACAGTCACGAGTCATTGTGGACATGCGGGAATTTCGAAGTGAATTACCAGCTCTCTTACACCGCAAAGGTTTAAAGGTACGATATATCTTTGATATCCTCGTATTTCATGGAAGTAGTTCTGTGAATTTGGCTGGAAAAAATGAATGCAGTACCATCTAATGCGACTGGTTATCACTCAACACTATTGACTATATCCTCATCTGAAGTTATTGCGCTATCTTTTTTCAGGTGGATCCGATGACTCTCAGTGTTGCAGATTATATACTGGCTCCTCATTTGTGCGTGGAACGTAAATCTGTGTCCGATTTGATTGGATCGCTCAATTCCGGTCGCTTGTATCAACAATGCACAGCCATGTCTCGTCACTATCCAAACCCGATCTTATTGATTGAGTTCGCTCTGCCAGCTCGGAGTAAGTTGAGGTATTTGTTGTCCTGTTCGTACTGACTAGCTTTTTCCACCTCAATTGTACGTCGATCGCAATGTGCAGCACTACTGGATTAGCCTGTGTTCTTGCTTTTCATTCAAAAGTAATCGGAAGTACTTCAGATTCATTTTTATGAATGGTTTGGGAAAAGATGTATCACAGCAGTGTTTCGTTAGACAAGATAAGCAGTACCTATATTTTCACCCAGCATGTTTCGATAAACTTATTTCAGGTTCGTGGTCTACCCTGTTGAGGGTGTGAAACCCCTTCGAGGATACTCACATTGGTCGCGTTAGGCTTGTTGGATGGGGACCTCGGGACCATTGTAATCGTTAACTAGAGAGACAGTGATAGGCTCAATGTGGTAAACAATGGCACCCGCACATCTCTCATTGTCCTTGCAACCTTGGTCTACATGAATTCTTTATTCTCCCCTTCCTACAGCTTTCGGTATTCCAATCTTTCTCTGCCTCTTCAGCCAAACGGACAACCCAAACACAGCAACTAGAATCATCGCACGAAAGTGCACGGTTAATGGTCGTACAAACTAATCCGAACTGTTTTAGTTTTAATTAAACTTCAGAAAGTAATTCAGGTCTAATCCTGTTGAATCAGCTTAACTCATCTTCATAAATGTCATTGAAATTGTTGTCTCTGCTAGGGAAATCCTACCCATTCCCTTGTTTCTGGTATGTGTTCACCAAAGTGAGAGGTTGAGAAACCATTCAGTGGAGGCTATAACCGGGTGAACGAGCCACCGTCAGCTAGTTCGTCTAGGTTAGTTGCAAACCTTGATTACAAATCACCTATGATGGGGCCTATAAACTGTTCTCAGTAATACTAGATACACGGTTGCCGGCTAAATTGAACGAATGGGTGTATCAGGCTTTTTGGACGTGAGGGCCCCTCTCTATTTGCATATGATCCTACCGATAGAGTACCAGTCCCCAGAGAATCGTGCACTATTGTTCTTTGGATTAGACCACTCTGTCGAAAGATCTGGATGTGCTCCCTAAAATCAACCTGCTACTCCGTTTTGGGCGACTGAGTAATGAAGAAGCCTACAGAAATGGAAATTAAAAACAAATATTTCGCTCTGGTGTGCTTTCAACTGTTTCCTTTCCTTTTTTGTACATTATTTTACGTTGTCTATTTCAGATCAGCGCATAAATAATAAGATATAACAAGTTGCGCTAACCAGTTGAACGTTCTGGATACTTCACTTCACAAGCAGATTTGTGAACCACGAACATCGATTTGAGAAACTCCGTAAAATCAAACTTTGAGTGCATCTTTCTCACTCTCCTATACTCCCTTCTGTCTTACTTGAACGTAGCCACCGGTTCTCCAACTGTCCGCGGTGGTTTCGGTTTCCGTGGTGAAGCCACTACGGGATTTTCACTGTACTCCGGAAGACACAGTATTCAACCGGGTGCGGACTTCGATTCTCGACACCTGCTTTCCAAGCTGACCTTGTTAACTATCCACTTTCCCAATCTACGCCTTTTCTGGAGTGTGACTCCTTACTGTACCGCGGAGTTATTTACCGAACTGAAACAGGGTCGTGCTGAGCCATCCGTTGAGCGTTTGCCACAAGTGAGTGATTTTGTTTGCTCCATTTCGTCTAACTGTGTGAGAGAGGATCGATTTCGTCGTTCATCTTGTACATTTATGAATATCCGCATTCACAGTGTCACGTGTTGCTTCCCCTGAGTGACCGTACGCAGAAAACGAGTAGTATGGCATAGTATAATTGGTTTCCACCACCAGGGCATGGACTCTCTTATTTGGCTGGAGAAGACAAAAACACAAGTTCGTTTATTGTGTCGTGGATCTATGGAAAGATTTGTGGTAGTTTTGGACTCGTCAACAGCGCTTACCTTTTGTGTCCCCCATTTAAGGACTCGAACTTCAAACCCTGCATGGTCAACGGTCCACACCTTGTGCGAATGGTTCAAGAAAGTTAAGATTCATAAATTTTTCTTATAGTCCATTCGGTTGTTCACAGGCATTGTTGATGGTCGTGGGTGTGAGTTTCACTCCTTGGGAGATTGTTGATTCCCCTCCCCCGCCTCCTCCAAAGTTGAATGCATTTATAAGCGAT